GGAATAGAGTTACCATGGCTCTTTGATAAGTGGCTCCTGTGTTCTTTAAACCGAACGGCATAACCTTATAGCAGTAAGTTCCCCAAGGGGTAACAAAAGTCGTTTTTTCCTTGTCTTCTGAAGCCATCTTTATCTGATTGTATCCTGAGAAACCATCCATAAAGGAATATGTGAAACTACGAGCAGCATTGTCAACTAAAATGTCTATGTGGGGCAGTGGGAAATCATCTTTGGGGCTAGCTTTGTTCAAATTCCTGAAATCCACGCAAATTCTAATCTTCCCTTCCTTCTTAGGTACGACAACAATGTTGGATACCCATTGTGGGTATTTAACAACTTCTAGGAATCCAGCATGCCATTGTTTCTCGAGTTCCTCTTTCACTTTAATCCATGTATCTGGATGTGCTCTCCTTAACTTCTGTTTGACTGGTTTACAACCTTCCTCTAATGGGATCTTGTGTACCACGATATTTGTGTTCAAACCAGGCATATCCTCGTAAGACCAAGCAAAAATATCTGCATACTCATGTAATAGAGCTATTAACTCCGCCCTTTGCTTAGGCGTGGTCAATGTCCCTATTTTCAATTCTTTTTTAGCTTTATCACTACCCACATTTATAGTTTTGAGGTCTTCTTATTGGATAAACTGAGATTCCTTTCGCCAATCCCCTTTAACCAGAACCATTATCCTATGTCTGGTTAGGATAAACTGAGATTCCTTTCGCCAATCCCCTTTAACCAGAACCAATATCCTCTTGTGGTTAGGATAAACTGAGATTCCTTTCGCAAATCCCCTTTAACCAGAACCAATATCCTGTGTGTGGTTAGGATCAGAACCAATATCCTCTTGTGGTTAGGATAAACTGAGATTCCTTTTGTCAATCCCCTTTAACCAGAACCAATATCCTGTGTGTGGTTAGGATAAATTGAGATTCCTTTCGCCAATCCCCTTTAACCAGAACCATTGTCCTGTGTCTTTAATCAGAACCAATATCCTCTTGTGGTTAGGATAAACTGAGATTCCTTTCGCCAATCCCCTTTAACCAGAACCAATATCCTGTGTGTGGTTAGGATAAACTGAGATTCCTTTCGCCAATCCCCTTTAACCAGAACCAATATCCTGTGTGTGGTTAGGATAAATTGAGATTCCTTTCGTCAATCCCCTTTAACCAGAACCATTGTAACACCACAGTTTAAGAAAGATCAATCTTATAACAAATTTGCTCCCTTTCTTTTCTTTTCTCTGGTCCAAAATAAACTCTTTGTTACTCTTCCCTCAATGATTCCTTCTTTATCTATAAACTCTCTGGATTTTAACTCGGATATTTCCTCAAACAATCACTAACAGAATGCAATATTTAAAAATGGAATGCTAATGCATGCTTTCTTACCTGTCTTGAAACATAGATCCCCGAGGTTTCGTAAAACCTTTCCCTCGGTATGAGCTTCTCTCGTATGTTCTTAGACAGATGTTGGTATGTGTTTGTTGCACTGTCCTATTTCAAATGAAGAAATCTCCACTTTTCCACTGAGTTCACCTTGTTTATCATGCTCCTGCCAATGCTTTTATTCGTCTTTCTTCATATCAACATGAAGGGCTTTTTAGGTTTTTTTTTTTTTTGGTATTTTGTTTTTCAGCAGTAAAGAAAATGACCGGTTTTCTAGAAGAAATCTTTAACAACAACTAGAGCTTGAAATTGTGCATGCCTACTGGAACGTTCCACATGCATACTAAAGACTGGTTTAAGCAGTTCCCATTATAATTTTCTTAGGTTTTGGAATGCAATTGTCTTTAAGTCAAACTCTTTTTCTTTTTTCCTCTTTTTTTTTTTAAAAAAGGTGACCTTCTGTTTAATCTTTTCCAAAGGCTTCAAGCAAAGACTTGAAAAGGCTGAATATATATATAAAAAGAATTGTCCCATACTAGCATTTTTCAAATACGGATAATAGTAGATCACCATGCCTTTATCAGGTCCTGTGGATCATGAGACCAAAGTTTATCAAACCAAGTTACATACTCTTGATTAGAAAGGGCTTCTAAAAGCTTGAAATGTAGGCTATGGTTATGGGTTATGAAAGAAAGGATGTTTACAGTCTCAAAAGGTGTTTAAGGGTTTCAAAGACTTAGGATCAACTATTCATCAATCATTTTTCTCTTATCATATATCCTTGTTCACCTTTATGACCAGAATGCTCATAACATGGGTCATACCAAAATAAAATTTTCATTCTGGAATATATGAAAAGTCATCTGGAGATTTTATTCTTGACACCAAAAACAAAGTTTGTAACTTTGTTATTCTTTGTATGGTTTTCTTTCTTCTTTTCCTTCCCTTTTTTTTTCACAATGTCATCTTTGGGGTTCTTTGTAGTGTTTACTACATGAGACATCAATTTCATCATCTATGTTCACTGCTTTGTCTGGATAATAACCAAATATTACATGATCAAATCTCATATCCATCTTTATTGCTTTGTCTAGCTGGTAAAGCGATCAAAACTGGCATCAATATGTTCTGCCCCTAGTCTAAGTCTTTTTTTTTTTTCAATCATCGTTGGACTTGATCTGGTTCTTCCCTTTCCTATTGATTCTATTAGGGTCTTCTCAATATCTCTCATTTGCCCCTAGTGTGGGGTGTGATCCTAGTCAGGGCTGTTATAAGAAAGAAATGTGATTCAGCTCAAATGGGGACTACAAAGGATGAATTTATTAGAAAAGTGAATGGATGACAAAGATGGCCTTTCCTCATTTCAAAACACATGTTGTTAGGATTGATAAACCTTGTTCTTATCCCAGGAAAATATATGTGATCACAGAGATGGTTAACTAACCATTTATCTACGCAAATTCAAAAATGCTAGTAGAGACAAGGTTTTATCTCAGGGTTAGTCTTGGGGTTTATTTTGGTTTGGTCACCTTTTTTTTCAGGAAATGCTTAAATTTCATCTTTGAGTGCTTTATGATGCATTTCTTGTAATCATGCACAAAATCAGTTTTTTCCAGATAAATGACATAAGTGTTGTGAGATCAAGGCAATGACAAGGTTCTTTACGCAAAGAATGCATGGCCAAACTTTATTGTATTTATTTCGGGAGAAAATTGAACACATTTAGACATAATATCTCTTTACAGAGTCAGAATTCACAGGTCTGGTTAGATCTTCTCCATCCATGCTAGATAATTTTAGAGCTCCGCCTAAGAAAGCTTTCTTTACTATATAAGGACCTTCATAATTTGGAGCCCATTTGTTGTGGTCTTCTCCTGGTAAAGATAAAAGTTTCTTGAGCACTAGATCTCCTTCTTGAAACACACGAGGTCTAACCTTCTTGTCATATGCCTTAGCCATTCTTTTCTGGTAAAGTTGATGATGACAGATGGCGGCTATCCTCTTTTCACTGATCAAGTTGAACTGTTCATATCTGACTTTGGTCCATTCAGCCTCTTCTAACTCTGAATTCATCAACACCCTTAATGATGGGATTTTGACTTCCAACGGCATTACTGCCTCCATTCGATATACCAATGAATATGGCGTGGCTCCAGTCGAAGTTCTTATTGCAATGCGATATGCATGGAGAGCGAATGGCAACATCTCGTGCCAATCTTTATAGGTGACTACCATTTTTTGAATGATTTTCTTGATGTTCTTATTAGCTGCTTCCACGGCCCCATTCATCTTTGGCCTATATGGTGAGGAATTTGAATGTTTGATCTTCCATTTAGTACAAAGCTCCACTATCATTTTGTCGTTGAAATTCTGTGCATTATCAGTCACTATCTTTTCTGGTAGCCCATAACGACAAATCAAGTCTTTCTCTATGAACCTCTTTACCACTTTTTGAGTCACATGAGCGTATGAATAGGCTTCTACCCATTTTGTGAAATAATCAATGGCTACAAGGATGAATCTATGCCCATTATTGGCCTTTGGGTTAATAGGCCCAATCACATCAATTCCCCACATTGCAAATGGCCAAGGAGATACCAGATTGAACAAAGGGGTTGGAGGTGCATTGACTTTATCACTATGCACTTGACACTTGTGACATGTTCTGACATAATCGATGTCTTTCTCTAATGTCATCCAGAAATAACCAGCCCTTTGTATTTTTCTTGCCATCATAAGTCCGCTAGCATGGGTTGAGCAAATCACTTCATGGACCTCTCGCAATGTCGTTCTAGCATCTGTTGCATTCAAACACCTTAGTAATGTTCCATCGAATGATCTTTTGTACAAAATCTCTCCGTCTAGATAAAAGCTCATGGCCAATCGTCTTAGGGTCTTCTTATCCACCTGCGAAGCTCCCTCTGGATATTCCTGCTTCTGCACAAAGTTCTTGATATCGTAATATCAAGGCTTCCCATCTATCTCTCCTTCAATTGAGTAACAATAAGCTGGGTTATTTCTGATATTAATGTGTATTGGTTGCACCATATACCCAAGATCAATTGTAGCCATAGTAGCTAATGTAGCTAAAGCATCCGCAAAATGGTTCCCCTCTCTTCTCAGGTGAGTGAACTTTATCTCTTCAAAGTCCTCTACTAGTGTGGACAAGTATTCCTGGTAAGGCCTTAGCTTTTCTTCCTTGGTTTTCCATTCTCCTTTCACTTGACAAATAATCAACATTGAGTCACCATATACATCCACTTTTCTAATCTTCATCTCTAATGCAACTTCTAAACCGAGTATACAAGCTTCATATTCAGCTGTATTATTGGTGCATTCAAAATGTAATTTAACTGAAACTGGATATAGCTTCTGATTAGGCGAGATTATCACTACGCCGACCCCATTACCATATACATTCACTACTTCGTCAAAAAACATAGTCCACCAATCTGTCTTTTCCTCTTCTTCCTCTATTGCCAATAAATTTTCATTCACTATGTGTTCCATTTATCTTTGATGGGAAGATATGCGAAAGATACCCACCCCATTTTCTTATTTTTCTATATATATATATTTTTACGCGGGGACCCAAAAATGGGTTACAACAGCCTTCATCCACAGTTCATCGGTTTTACCCGGGGGAAGCTACATGAATTGGTAATGAAATCGTACAAGAACCGACAACTTTCTTGCTGCTCTCACTTTGCACAAGTGCCCTGCTGAGAGGGAAACATTAAAAAAAATATTTCTTAAATTAGTTTTTATGATATTACTAAATGTAAAAAAATAATTTATTTTTTAGAAATTTACTTTTTAGAATAATTATTTTTAAAAAAAATTACTTTTCAGCAAACAAATAAAATATTAAAAAATAAAAATATATTTTATTTTTTCATCTTTTTAAATGCCATGTTGTTTTATTTTATGTTAATTTTTTTAATTTTATCCTTATCAAAGTTTTGGATTATATTTTTAACAGTAATAACAAAGTCACAAGTTAAATAAATATTAAAATTAAAATTTAATTCAAGTTTTGAATTATAAATTTATATTTAATAGGTTAATCTATTAACACGAACTTCCATGTTATCGAGATTGAATTTCAAAGAAGAAGAAAAAAAGCAAGAATTTTAGGGAGTGTGGGAGGGCAAATAGCATAAGATTTTGCTTTGACAAAGAGAACTCGTAGCGATTTGCAACAAATATTGATATTTTTACTTTGACAATCCATATAGGTGGTGGCATGACCTCATCTAATGATAAGAAATTATCTTTGCCACGTCAAAAGCTTGTCTAAAGTCGAAGATGATGTGATAGAAACGCGCCACGACAGGAGTTTTGCAGCTGTCAAGGACTTTTGCCTTCTTTTGTCAGGTGTCAGTTAATCCAAATATTTATATTAATAAAAAAACCCAATACCTCCTAAAAAATAATTTGCAACAAATATTGATATTTTTACTTTACAATCCATATAGCTAGTGGCATGACCTCATCTAATGATAACAAATTAAGATTCTTGTCTAGCAGTGGGAGGGGTTTGTTTTTTTTCTTTCTTGTGCATGTTTGTTGTCTCTGTGATGTCTTATTTGCTTATTAGACTTGTAAAATATTTAGTAAATTGTAAGGATTAATCATGATGCGCGCAAATTACCCAAACATATGTATAAATCAAAAACAAAAAAAAATTATCTTTGCCACGTCAAACGCTTGTCTAAAGTCGAAGATGATGTAATAGAAACGCGCCACGACAGGAGTTTTCCAGCTGTCAAGGATTTTTGCCTTCTTTTGTCAAGAGTGAGACTCGGAGATATTAACCACTTATGATGTCCCACTGACTTACTTTTTTATAAATATTTCTTCAATCAATTTTAAAATAAAAATGTAACAAATAAAAAAAACAAAGTTAGTAGTAATGTTTTTTTTTTTATCTCTTAATTTTTTTATTTTCAATTCAATTTTTTTATAATAAATTGATTTTGAAATTTTATTTATTTAATAAAATAAAATAAAATTTTATTAATTCAAACTAATTAAAATTTAAATTCAATTTCTAGCCGTATACACTTACTAGCCATGCACCATTAGTAAAAAAAAAAAGATAAAAAAGAAGAAGAGAAGTTTCATTTGCTGAAACAGGAACATGGCCGGAATGAAAAAAGAGACTCCTTTTGTGTCCATGTATATTGTAAGAATTCTATGTTTTCTGTTGGAAAAGTAGTTTACCTGTATCAATACAATAATTAAAAATAATTATTATAGTAATTTTAAAATTTAATTTGAGATTTTACCTTGGACAACAATAGGGTTACAGGCTAGAAGTTCAACTAGATTGACCTAATTTTATTTTAAAACGACCAAAGTAATTTTGCCTTTGACTAGAAAAAATTTTAAAAAAATTATTAGTTGGATTTTTGTTAAGTCAGGTCTGATCAATTTTTTATCTCTTGTTTCTTTTTTAAACTTGACAGGTCAAGGCCTTCAGTTAATTCGTCAGGTTAATTTGAATTTCATAACTAGGACGAAATACATGGTAATAAATATTAAAAGTAAAATAGATTTTGTTATGTTTTGAAATGTTTTGAAATGGTAATATAAAAAATAAAAAAATGATATTTTATATATTTATTAAATAAAAAACATATTAAAAACATATATTCACTAATTAGTAGCATAGTTGGCTGCTGGGTTATCGATGCTAGCGAATTGGCACTTTGTCGAACAAGTCAAGAACCTCTTGTGGTTTCACACACCATCATTTCTTTTCTATTGGAGGCATTTTGTGCTTTGCCGATGGACTGTTTTGTGTTGCGTATTATATGACGTCTCTGTCACTGCTGCTTTTAGAGAAGAAAAGCATGGAGGTCATGCTTAGGCCTTTACCTTGTCATGGCACAAGGATTAAAGCAGCTACCAGTTTAAGTCCTGTAAGTTCCTGTATTACTGAAGATTTACATTATGGTTAATTTTAAGAGTTGTAGAATTAGTTAAATTAGTTAAAGTGGGTGTAAGTTAATCCAAATATTTTTATTAATAAAAAAACCCAATACCTACTAAAAAATACAGAGGAGAATATGTGAATTCACACATATTATATTGAGAGGCTGATCTGTAAATTTTCATACGAAATTTTTCACTTCAAAATTTAGTTGAAAATGATGATTTCAGCATTTTTGAATTTCTAGCGCAATTCACTTATTTTAGACCCATTTGGAAATGCTGGTTTATGTTTTAAATATTTTTTTAAAAATACATTTGTATTGAAATGTATTATTAAATCGGTACTTTTTAAAGTATTTTTTTTATAATTTTAAAATATTGATATTAAAAATTAAAAAAAATATTATTAAACCCAAACTTTTAATTGGCAGGTTGTTGTTTTCATATGCCTTTTACAAATGGGAGGCCACTATTCGGCTTGTCAAAATCGACGATAAAAAATAATAATAATAAAATCGATGACAAATGCATCCATCTATCATGATGTGATGCACCCAAAAGACCACAAGGAATCACTTCCAGCCATGGCCTTAAAATTTGCGGGCGAATTATGATGTGATGGTAAGGTGAAGCCAAGACTGCCTCCAACATGGCAGTGGCAGGAATTTCTTTAACATTGGGGACCTACTGCTTTTTAAGATTTTCAATCACCGACTGCCTCCACCGTGTCACCATTACGCTACCGATGGCAAGTTTGGTAATCACACAAATTAATTTAAAGATAGATTTTTTTATATTATTATTAAATTGAATGGGGTAACTCTTCAAATTGAGTTTACCTTCCTATAAAATCCACAATCCATATTATTATGAAAATATAATAAATTAATTAAAAATAATTTAATAAAAACTATTGATTGAAAAAAAAACTATATTTTATAATAATAGAGTGTTTTATCAAAACTTGTGATGTCATATAATAACTTAATTAAAAATAATTTAATAAAACTATTGATTGAGAAGAAAGGAAGTTATATTTTATAATAATAGAGTGAGTGTCTCATCAGCACTTATGACGACTCTAGTAAAGTGAACAAAATGTCAAGAATCGGTAATGACAAAAACAATTATTAAAAGATGAATCATCAACACACCACGTCATTACAGAGAAAGTTAATATGGTTACCTAAATTTTGTTACTTTATTATTTATTCTCTAATTGCTTCTGTAAAGCACTGTACATAAAGGGTAGTGTTGATATTGCATGGGATAAATTAGTTAGAATATTCTTTTATAATAATAGAGTTCCTCATCAGCACTTGTGATGGCTCTAGTAAAATGAACTAAATATCAGGAATCGGTAATGACAAAAATAATTATTAGAGGATGAATCATCAACACACCACGTCACTGCAGAGAAGGATGACATGGTTACTTAAACTATGTTACTTTGTTATTTATTCTCTGATTGCTTCTGTAAAGCACTGTACATAAAGGGTAGTGTTGATATTGCATGGGATAAGTTAGTTAGAATATTCTTTGCTTGTTGTATATATTTGAACGAGCTACATCATTCACAATATACAAGGAATTTTTCTTTACAATTCTGTTTTCCTTTATTTCACATTCGTTTGTTATATGGTATCAGAGCAGCCAATCAATGGCCAACGCTCATGAAGAAATTGATTCTCAGTCTTTCAACAATACAAACCCTAAAAACAAATACCTTAATTTCTCTGACCTTTTCAATCCATTCCGAATTAAGAATGGTGATAACCTAGCTGCTGCTCTTATTTCTGAACTCTTAACTGCTAATAATTATGTTAGTTGGTCTCGTGCGATTTCTCGAGCTCTTTAAGTGAAGAACAAACTTGCATTTGTTAATGGTACATTGTCTAAACCTACTGATATCTTAGATCCTCCTTTTAAAGCTTGGGAGAGATGCAACAACTTGGTCGTTTCATAGCTACAAAATTCTTTAAGTCCTTCTGTCAAATCTAGTCTTGCTTTAGTTGAGGTTTCAAGAGTATTATGGCTGGAACTCAGAGATCGTTGTATTAAATCATGTTTTGTGTGTGCCTTCCTTTACCTTTAACTTGCTTTCTACCAAGAAATTTACTCAACATCATTCTTGTTGTCTCATATTTTTATCCAATGTTTGTTTTTTTAGGACATAGCATCATGGACAATGATTGGGATAGGTGAAGTTAGAACCGGTCTGTATCACCTTCTTAGGCCTCAGGTGCACCCTCTGCTTTGGTTGATGCACTGCCTCATCTTCATCCTTCAACTTCATTTCCTTTTGCTTCCGCTACTCACACTATTTCATTATGTGATTTATAGCATTATCATTTTAGATACATTTCTCTTTTTAGATTACCTTTAATCACTTATTCCATTATCACACACAATCAAACATTTCATAATCTAATACCATGTTCCATTTGTCTTTTGGCTAAGCAACAACATTTTCCTTTTCTAACTTCTACACATTCTATTTTGCATAAATTTGATCTTGTTCACTATGATATATGGGGTCCCAACTCAGTTATTGCAGTGGATGGATCACGTTTTTTTTCTTATAATTGTTGATGACCACTCTTGGACAACATGGGTTTATATGCTTAGAAATAAATTTGATACCAGGTCTTGTTTTATGGCTTTTTACAGTCTAATTAAAACTCAATTTCACACTAAAATTAAAACCATTAGAAGTTACAATAGAGCTGAGTTTCGCATGACATATTTTTTTAAGCTACGGACATCATCTACCAAAAGAGTTGTGTCGACACACCCCAGCAAAATAGCAGGGTTGAGAGAAAACATTAACACATAATGAATATTGCTCACGCCTTAATGTTTTAATCCCACCTTCCCCCCAATATTGGACTGACTGTGATCTTACAGCAATCTACCTTATTAATCGAACTCCTTCCCCTCTTCTTCATAACAAAACACCCTATGAATATCTCTTCTACACTCATTCTCAATACAAACACTTGAGAGTTTTTGGTTGCCTTGCATATACCTCTACCTTGCCACAAGGGCATAAGAAGTTTGATCCTAGAGGCAGAGCATGTGTGTTTTTAGGCTATCCTTTTAGGGTTAAAACATATAAATTACTTGATTTACAAACTGATCAAATTTTTTTATCCCGAGATGTTCATTTTCATTAATCTATTTTTCCCTTCCATCCTCATTTTTTGCCTTTTGTTTCACCTTTCCACTCTATTCCACCTCCTTTTCATTCTTCATTGCCTCATTCTATCTCTATTCCTACTTTACCAATGACACGACTAAAAGATTGATGTCTTCTTCCAAGTGCAGGAGTGTTGAAGTAATAAATAACCCGGCAAGCCCGAGTTGAACCACAAGGAGGTTAATTGTACAAATTATAAACAATAACAATAGTAATAACAACAACAACAACAATAATAATAATAGTAATAATAATAGTAGTAGTAGTAATAGTAAAGAAAGAGAAGAAGAAGAAGATGATGAGAACTTAGAAATAGAATGTAAAGATTAAACAATGATAATAATAAATGTCAAGGTTAGAGGTTCCACTAATAGTATGTCAAACAAGTATAGTATAAACTCTTATTATTTAATTGGAAACCACACACAAAGAAGGTTCCAATATGATTATAGATTGTTAACATGATTATATTAGCCATCTTATTCGATTAATGCTAATACTTGTAAATCTCGTCAAGCATTCATGATTATAACTTATATTAACAACAAATCAAGTTCCTTTCATAGCTCAGGTGTCGATTATACCATATAGTATGGGCTATGAAAGTACCAAGCATTTTTTATACCAAGTGTTATACAATATAATGAAAGAAAGAAAAATAAATAAACAAAATAAGAACATAAATAAGATAAAAGTTAGCTAAGAAAAGGAAATAAAATAAAAGACATAAACTTGATATTAATGAAAGTAAAGCATAAACATTACAAAAAATACAAAGAGAGAAAGGAAGAGCATGATCTTGATCTGGAAACCAAGATGCCTAAATGCATGGCAAATGCCTCCTTTTATAGGCCAAAATTGGAAACTATTGATTTGATGATTAATTGATGAGTGGGTGGCCAACTCTTGACTTGGTGACAATCCTTATCTTCTCTTGTCTGCCCAAAACGTCATTGATAACGTCAAAATTGGAGCTACTCAAAAACATGAAAGTTGTAGGCAATTGTCTTAGCTTTTTTGTGTAAACAATTCAGCTCATTTCAACTTTTAGAACTCCATATATGGCCAAAATACTGAACAGTGCTCGGGCTGGAGGACAGATTCAGGCTTCTTTGTTGTTGCTACAATTTAGACTTAAAAATTGTCTTTTTAGATCTTGGGCTTCATATAAAAGTTGTAGGTCTATGTCTTACCTTTCCATCCATATAAAGTAGGCCTAAATCTGAGATCTATAGCTCCAGATATGACCCAATTACCAAACAGTATTCCGGTTTGGATTGCATCGACATCTATTTTCTAATTTTGGTCATCTCTTTGCCCTTGCAATTTAAATTCTTAAAGTCATCAATCTATCCTTTTATTTATGTGATAAGGCTGCATTTAAAATGAACATTTACCACAAATTAAAGATATCTTATATTATTAGATATATTATTATAAAACATGCTTTATTTAAGGAGTTATTAATACTTCAAGTACAAAATAATAATATAAAACCATGATAAAAATACACTTTTAAATACTAATCAACCAACATCCACTTCATTACTCCCCTCCATTACTCCTTTACCTGCCATTTCCAATTCCCAGTCTTTATCTCCATATTTTTTAGCTCCAAGTTCTCCTCTTTTTACTCCTTCTATACCACAGCCTTTACATTCTCCACCTCTATTATCTCCTACTACCTCACATTCTCCTCCTTCTTTAGTTTCACCTTCTCGAAGGACAACTAGAACCAGACGTGCTCTTAAGTACCTGCAGGATTATCATTGTCATCAAACTACTCTACCTCCTCCTATCCCACCGTTGGACCAGCTGCTATGTTCCCTTTCAGGTATAGCTTCCCCTCTTCATAATACTATATCTTACCAGCATTTTTCTCCTACTTATAAAGCTTTTTCAACTACTATTCCCACTCATATTAAACCAAAAACATATAAGCAAACTCTTAAATAACCCGAATGGTGTCAAGCCATAGACACTGAATTAGCAACCTTGGAGGTAAATCAAACTTGGTAGCTTACGAATTTACCTCCCGGTAAAGTTTCTATTGATTGCAAATATGTTTATAAAATTAATTATCATTCTGATGGGAGTGTTGAACATCTTAAAGAAAGACTTGTGGCTCACGGTTTCACCCAACTTGAAGGAGTGGACTATCAAGAGACTTTTTCTCCTGTGGCTAAATTGGTTACCGTGAGGTGTCTCTTAGGTACTGCATCAATTAAAGATTGACATTTACATCAATTCGATGTAAATAATATGTTTTTACATGGTGACTTGCATGGAGATATTTATATAAATAAACATCTTGGCTACACCAAAGGATCCCCGTTCAAGTTTGTAAATTGCTCAAAAGCTTGTATGGTCTCAAAGAAGCTTCAAGGCAATGGTATTCAAAATTTTCTAATGTTTTTTTTGCTGCAAGTTTCTCTCAATCCAAGGCTGATTATAGCCTTTTTACCCGTGATATTAATGACACATTTCTTGTTATCCTTGTTTATGTCGACGATATACTAGTTGTAAGCAGTGACATTACTGCTGTGCAAGAATTGAAATCCATTTTTCACAAGCATTTTCAAATCAAAGACCTTGGCCCCTTACGCTACTTTCTCGGCATAGAGGTTGCAAGATCCTCCAAAGGCATTTATCTCTGCCAAAGGAAATATACACAGGATATTCTTGCAGATTCTGGCACTTTAGGTAGCATCCCTGGTAAGGTTCTAATGTAGCACAATCTCAACCTTACTCAAACCACTGGCACTCTCTTACATGATCCCAGTATTTATCGACGTCTTATTGGCAGGCTCATTTATCTTACAATCTCTCGGCCTTATATTTGTTACCTTAAGGGTGCACCAGGTCAGGGGCTTTTGTTCTCTAATTCTTCCTCTTTACATCTTGAGGCTTATTGCGATTCTGATTTGGCTTCTTGCCCTGATACCAAACGTTCTATTAGTGGCTACTGTATTTTCCTTGGCTCTTCCTTGATCTCTTGAAAATCTAAGAAACAATATGTGGTCTTTAAATCTTCAGCAGAAGCCGAATACCGTTCCATGGCTATTACCAGCACTGAATTAACCTGGCTGAAATACATTCTGTCTGCATTTCATGTCCAGCATTTTCAACCAGTTTTCTTACACTGTGACAACCAAGTTGCTATCCATATTGCGGCCAATCTAGTATTCCATAAGAGGACTAATCACATTAAACTTGACTGCAATCTCATTCGAGACCAGATTCAGACCGGCCACGTTTGCACTCGTTATGTCTCTAGCTCCAATCAACTTGCTAATATCATGATAAAGACTTTATCATCCTCTGTTCTCAATTTTCACTTGTCCAAAATGAGAGTTGTAAATTTTCACTCTCCATCTTGCGAGGG